GAAGATCTAGAATGCTCCCGCCAAATCCAGAAACATTATCATGTTTGTTCTGAAAGGTAATCGAAAGCACCTTCGTCATAGTCGTCACATATTTTTGGTCTTAATGGGTTTAATTAGGACAATAATCGGACAATTTGAGCCTCAAAGGCCAAGCAAGACAGAGAGTGACTTGGAATATTAGAGCATAACTGAATAATGAAATGGCTCGCATTTCAATACCTTTATTCGTTTCGTTTCTTTATCTACAAAATGTTATATAACAGCAATTATTATCGTTTTTATTATTTTATTTCTATATCGTCCACTTCTACTTTTGATATCTAAAGTAACATTTGACATCAGTATCAGTACGTCATTCATATCTAAGATAAACAACTAGACTAGACAACAACAAGTAGACCTCAACAAAAATGAAAAAGACATTACTTAAACTAACAATAATAAATAATATTACAAAATTAAAGTTATAAATAAAATACAATTATATTTGTTCGTAAATATAATAATGTCATGCTCCCTGAGCATTAGTATAATAACCTGTCAAATAATTAACCAATCATTTAATGGCCAGACCTTGAAGTTGGCTACATGTTGATGTTAAAACATACTTTATCTACAACCACCCCAGTAAATCGCCTATTATGTACCGTTTTGTTTATAAGTAAATGCATCATTACAGATACTGTTACGTAATGAAATTCAAAACTATTACGTAATATATATATATATATATATATATATATATATATATTGATATAGAAATTCCTGACGTCATAAAATTTATTATTTAAATTGAGCAATACTGGGGTGGTGAAGTATCTTGAAATCAAAATTCAAGTTAAAATCAAAATGTCGGGATTTTTGTTGATTATTTTTGGAAAATGTCAGAAAGAAATGAGTTGTCAGAGGGAAATTGATATAAAAAGATTAATAGATATAAAATGTTAAATAAAAATTAAGATTATATTAGAATAATAAAGAAATGTTAAAGACTGGGATATTACAATAAAGAAGGTTGGAAAAATAAAGGTAAAGAATTTTATTTAGAAAGTGAGAAATATTATATAGAACCAGAGATAGAGAAAGAGTAGCAGGGAGAGATACCAGGGAGAGATATTAAAAGAAACACGACAGAGACAAGCAGATAGATACAAACAGCACACATAGGTAGGGTCAGAGACAAGCAGATACGAGCAGCACACACAAAAAAAAAAATAAGAAGACAGATAGACGCAGAGAAGATTGAAGAATTTAAAATTTATTTTTTATTTATTAATTAAATTTGGTAAATAATATTTTTATGTAAATTTTTAGAGCCGAACCACCCCTTTTTAAGAGTCTGGGCAAATCTATTTAAAATATTGATATACAGGGGGTTTCTATATCAATATATATATATATATATATATATATATATATATATATATATATATATATATATATATATATATATATATATATATATATATATATATATTACATAACAGTTTCATTTATCAAACTACCCATATTAGTCCGTTGCTAGGTGATCGCCATGGTTACGATGAATAAGTTTTGACATTTCAGAAATATAAAATCGCCATTTTTGTAGTTACAGCATTATTTTTTTAAACGAATATGATTTCGTCAGATAGCGAAAATGAATTTCAAGAAACTCCACCTGAAATTCTTGAAAAAGCTGCCAATACCACTGAAAAATTACTGCCAACAAAATCAAGAACAAGGTATGAAATAGTATACCAAAAGTTTATGAACTGGCGTATAAAAAACAAGATTAATTCATTTTCTGAAAATGTGCTTTTGGCATATTTTGGGGACCTAATGGAACAATTTAAACCTTCATCAATATGGGCAATATATTCCATGTTAAGTACTGTCATTTCCATAAAAAAACAACGGGAATATTGAAACATACCCAAAATTAAAGGCATTCCTAAAAAGGCAATCGGAAGGTTTTAAAAGCAAAAAATCAAAAATTTTTTCTTCTGATGAAATAAGTAAATTTTTAAATGAAGCTCCTGATTCACAATACTTATTAACAAAGGTTTGTATCTAAAGCAATTTTCCTTCAGTTAATTTAGTATTGGCTAGTGATTTTACTTTTCAATATTTTATTTAAGGTGATTCTAATTATTGGAGTTTGTGGCGCATGTAGGAAACAAGAATTAAAAAATTTACAAATCAAGGATATAAGAGATGTTGGTGACATACTGATTATTGAAATACCTGATTCAAAAACTAAGCAGGTCTTTTGTGATTAACGGAACCTTTTATCAAATATGCAAACAATATATGCAAAATCGCCATCAAGTGCAAAATCTTGATACAAATCAATTTTTCATAAACTATCAAAAAGGAAAATGCACCAAACAAGTGATCGGTATAAATAAAATTGGAAATGTACCCAAACAAATAGCACAATATTTAAACTTGCCCAATCCCAATTTATACACCGGCCATTGTTTAAGAAGAACTTGTGCCACAATTTTAATTGATGCAGGTGGTGATTTATTCGCATTAAAAAAGCATGGAGGCTGGAAATCCTCAACGACTGCTAAAGGATATGTTGATAATTCATTAAATAATAAAACTTTAACGGCTCATAAAATTATCCAGTCAATTGAAAAAACAGATTTTCCACCTAGCACATCAGAAATAAATGAGAATATTTCTACTTATAATATCCTTCAAACCATAAATAACAGCAATCAAATAGAGTCTAATTCCTCTGCACCATCTACATCATCTCTTTCAGTGCCATCTACTTCTTATAAAATACCTCAAAATACTAACGAACCCATAATTATTCAAAATTGCCAAAATTTTACCGTTAATTATTATTCTAAGAATCAATGATATGTTACAATGAATTATTGTATTTAATAAATGTTATAGATTATGAAAGCTTTTTTATTATGAATGTATGAATGTGGTTGTAGATAAAGTATAGTACATAACTCGAGTTGTAAGAGCAATTACATGCTCGTAGAATTACTACACTCGCCGCTAACGCGGCTCGTATGCAACTTTTCTACTCGCATGTAATTAGCTTCTTACTACTCTTGTTATGTAATATACTATTATGTAGCTCTTATAATGGTCAAACGGGTACCATACCTTCTAATGACCTCTGATGGATTTTTTGGAACTATGTTGTGTTTGGTGCCATATCGTTTTTTGCTTTTATATTGAATTTGAGGGAAGTTAACTTGTTAGACCGATTTTCCAATGATAAGTGTGGTGCTTAACCTTGTTGAATAAACTTCTCGATTTATTTTTGTTATCTATTTTAATATTCCTATCAGGTAATTTTCGACAAAATATTCTTATAAATAAATTGAATTTAGGAAAGATATTTAAATAAAATATGTAACTTCACAGACATCATTTTTTTACTCTATTGTGACAAAATCGATACCTCCACCAAATTATTAATTACTATAATTAGCTAACTTATAAATTATAAATTTTGGTGGAGTCGGCCCATAGCCAGTGTAGATGTACTATTGATTTCGTGCCTCCACCAAAATTTTAATTACAACCATTTAAAATGTACATTATAGCGAAGTCGCTACCAAGTGTAATTGTAGCTAAAAATCGCCTATAAATTTGTTTAACTTTGACAACCTTTTTGATATACAGGGTGATTTAAATTAAGTTTGCCAAGATATTTCATGAAATGACAATGTATTTCATATCTTAGTCGAGCTGTACTTCTTCTAATACTTACTTGAGATTCATAAACATGCAACATAAGGAATAATATTTTATTTTTGTGTAATTCGTACGTAACACTGACACTTTTTATAAAAGAATATGAAGATAAATGCACCAAGTTCTTAAATTATTTAATTCAGTAAAAAACACGCCACGCAAAAAAAGATAAACAAATCCGGGCAACAAATTTTCCTTTTAATTCCCACCAGAGCGACGTCGAGGTTTCCACTATTTCCGCGAAAACTCTCCATGTTCCACCTCAACAAGTTTCCGTCTTTCATTTGCCATGTTATTACCCAAACCATAAAGTTAATTACTCGTAATTTGGCGCTCGCCTCTCGCACATGCAAAATGAAATAATCAAAATAAAAGCCGGGATAATGGTGATGCAGAAGTTGCGCAATTCTTTTGGAAATGTCCTATTGTTCTTCCTCCAACTGTGGAAGGTTCCTATCTGGATCGGTTAAGTAATTAGTTGCCATTTTTCAAAACACCAGAGAATTCGTTCGGCTGGCTTCCGTTGCTATGAGCAGCGAATATCTGTTGACGTTATTCGCTTTTTTAGCATTAATGGACAGAGAAAGATTAGCGGTTCTGATTTATGAACTGTTTGTTGCGATGCGATGTAGGTATGTAAGTTTTAAATGAAAACTACAAACATTATTGTGGTTTCAATTAATTACCTTTCAGAAGACACTACGGATGCTATTTATTTATTTATCTATGAATATTAGTTTGAAGACATTCGTAGTTCTACTTGAATGGTCAAACACAATTTTAGATCATCGGCATATAACATACAATTAATATTTATTACATCAGTGATATCGCTAATAAACAATATAAATACTGAGTGGCCCATAGGGACATTCTGTGGTAGTATATAATGAGATGTGTGAAAGTTTGAGAATGCACAGTTTTTCTTCCCCGAAACAAAAAATTAAGCTTGAGCTACTTAAACTAAGCTACCAAGTTGGAACAGAGAGGGCTATAAAAATGTTTTCCGACTTTAGATTTAGAAAAAACGGGGAAGCTGAGTTAGGCTAGCGCTGCAGGTGGCGTAATCTAGGCCAACGAACTTCCTTAATCCCTTGTCAATTATTAATTAGCAGTATTAATAAGTAATTAGGAGAATTATGTGTAGATACATTACGGATGTAAGGAAAATAGAAAAGTACTATTTTATTCTGTCTTTAATTGTCACCGAGTATACATTACGATCATGGAAGTCGAATATATTTTTAGTGAAAAGGGGAAAAATTGTTCATTATAGGCAATTTTAGATTTTGTGAGGCAAATACTCTTGCCAATGGTGAAGTGCAATGGCGATGTGTTAAAAATAACAAGTGTTTAGCCAAGGTTTACATCCTTCGTGACCAAATAATAGACGAGAAAAGTGATGTCAATCACAACCATGAGGAAGACGACACTTTTCAACGACAGGTCCTTAGCAATAGCATTAAAAGGAAAGCATTGCAGGACGTGTCAGCAAAACCCTCAAAATTCATCCATCAAGAATTAAGTAAGAACAAGTTTTGTGATGATATCACCTCGCACGATATTCATAGAGTGCGAAAAAACATTTATGCCGCAAGACGTTCTGTTATGCCCATGCTCCCCAAAAATCAAGAGGATGTTTTTACTTGTTTAGGTAAGATGAATCCAGAAGAAGTTGGTGACTGTTTTGCATTTGATTTGTTTAAAAACAATGATGTAGTAGGTAACCAAAAAGTAATTGAATTTTGCGACTATTTAAAATATTGGGGCAAATGCTACAATTTCGCCGTTTGTATGAGCTTCAGCCTCAGATTCGATTACACGTACCACACATTCATGTAAGTAATTTCATTCATTATTTAATAGCCATTTTTATTCTTTCCATCCGAATATTTTTCAGTTTGTGGAAATTTTACTTAACTTTCAAACAGAAACATATGTAAAAATTATAAGCGCTAACAAGTATGTAAAAAAACTACGGCCTAACACCGAAAAAAGAAAATTATATTTATCGGAAAAACTCCGACAATTGGAATGTAATGAGTTAAGTAGATTCAATTTTATTTAATGCATTGCTTTTAAATATGCACCAAATAGTACAGGGTGTCAATTTGAAAACCTTCAGTGCAAATATCTCGCAAAATAAAAAAGTTGGAGAAACGCCGTTTGGCAGAAATGTTAGACGCGACACACCTCAACTTTAAAATGTCAAATGGCACTACCACTTTTGTGATACTTCAAAGGAAAGGTCTCATTTAGTAGTATTTATCTATACAAGAATTTTTTTCCATTCAATACAACAAATAACAAAAACAAAAAATTCGAATAAAAAAATTTAATGATATTTTATTTGATTAGATGTTCAAAATGCATTCCATCTTGTGCTAACTAATAGTGTAATCGATTTTCAAATTCTCTTCTAACATTGTGGAACACTTCTCTTGGAATATTGCTGCAATCCGTAATAATTCGTTGCCGAAGATATTCTATTGAATCCGGTTTTGTTTTAAATACGATGGATTTCAAATGTCCCCAGAGAATAAGTCAAGAGGTGTTAGATCGGGAGATCTCGCCGGCCATTCGATTGGACCTATCCGTCCAATCCATTGACCTGAAAAAGTGTCATTCAAAAATTGCCTGACTGGAAGAACGTAGTAGGGTGGTGCTCCGCCTGGCTGAAAATGTATTAAATGTTCATTCAGATTCCTGTTTCCGTCAATGTCCAGCTGATTTTCAATTTCTTCAACAATGAGAGGTTGAATGGTGTTGTCTAACATTTCCAAGTAAGTATTGCCCTTAATATTGCCATTAATAAATAATGGCCCAATTACAGTGTCGCCTAAAATTCCCGCCCAGACATTTATTTTTTCTGGATACTGCGTGTGCCCTTCCCTGACGAAATGTGGATTTTCGTCACTCCAATACCTGCGTAGTATTTTGTCCGAACTATGACGAGTCAGTCCAGAGGTAAGAAAAATATTTTTAAATTTAAAATTTTGGGTATATATGTAGAAAAATTGTAGTTGAGAAATCTATGATATTTCGTTTAAAAAGTTCTAATTTTTTGGAGATGTTACCCCTCCATCTTCCCCAATGGGACGGTGGGGATAAGATATTTAGACAGAAACGTTGGTAATCAGTTTTATTATAAATATGCCAAAAATGAAATTTTTATCTCCTCTTTAACTATTTTTAAATGCCAGAGCTCCACATCCGTACTATGACGGTTCAGGTTCAAACAAATATTTTTTGGAAAAATTATATTAAAAAAAATAAATCTTTTGGTTTGTATATAGAAAAAAATGTAGGTTCTAATTTGTTTCTTGAATTTTATTGAGGTGATACATCTGGCGGAAATTTTATTATGCGATTTTCATACATGGAATAATATAGCCATATACCAAGTTTGCTCTCAATTTCTAGATCCAAACTATCCTAGTCCCAAAAGCCGAAACCAAACCAAAATATGGCCCAAAGAAAAAGTGTCCCAATACATACCACGCTTCCCTAATTTATTTTTTGTTTCTCTCAAGATTTTAGATGTTCCTTTTTTATGGTTTTAGGTCTATTTTATTTTACTATTTATTTTTAGTTTTTATTAAACATGCGAATATATTTGTTATATCATTTTTTATTATTTAATAGAATATTTTGTACATTTTTTTTTTGACCCAGAGGGCCCCGACAAATATCTTGCTCCTGTGTCAAGCTAAGCTACTGACATTATTGCTTGTAAACTGTCGTTAGCAATATTTACAATTTTATACAATAGTTTCTCATATAACTGCAAAAAGTGGCCAGTTCATTTTCTTTTATTTGTTATTTGTAGTTGAGTACATTGAAGGGGGGCAAATAACATGTACTATGTACCGAGTTGTCGTATAACCTGTCAAATTTAAAATAATGTTGCTTATCAATGGATTTCGTTTCTTGCTGGCAATTAAATAATTTGCTTCTGTAACAATAAAAAATCCCATTGTAAACATTTTCTTCTGTCTGGTTTTGCTTTTACTACTATATTATCGGAAAATTGGATAATTTAGGTATTTTCTAAGCAACTTTCCCTGTCCATTGTATATAATATACTGGATTGTTCAAAGAAAATATTCAGGAAGCAGTTGATGCACTTTTTGCAGATGATAAGGGTATACCAACTGTTCTTTAAGTACTCCAGCAATTGTCGTTATTAACACATGAAGCTGCGCAGCTTATCTTCGAGTGCTTATTGAATGAGTATCAGCTACAGTATCCAAAATATTTTCCTCCAATTGCACCGTACGTACTGTTCCTGTCATACCAACATCAGTACTTGTTTTCCCAAAACTTCCTAAAAATTATTAAAGAAAGTCAACAATGTTACTTTATTAACTGGGAATCGCCCACCAGTCTCTCTTAGACGTTGGTCAAGTCGGTGAAATGATTTCTCATTTAGAATAGTGCGATTAGGATATCTTTCTTCATGCAACCTTCTTGATTCATAAGCATTGCAAGATGCAAGACCGTACTGTTATGTGAGCCATTTCATTATTCAGTCATGCTCTAACCCTCCAAGTCCCTCTCTGTCTTATTTGGTTTTTGAGGCTCTACTTTGTCTGATTATTATACATAATTAAACCCCTTAAGACCAAACCTATGTGACGACTATGGTGGATACACTTTCGCGAACATTCTTGAGTCTACGGGATAATATTTCTAGTCTATTCCAAATATAACGAGATATTACTAGTTTGGCGGAGAAGCTTCTTAAATTGTTATTTAAATATTGGTGGAGAAGAACGCGGTATCAGTTATTATATGGACAGTGAAGATAAATAGTAATTAATAGATAGACAGTGGTGAATGTAAATAGTGAACAGTTTAAAAACATTGGAAATATATATAAATTAGAATAGTAGTGTTATAAATAAATAAATAAATAAATAAGTGTTTAAATAAATTATTTACAAATAAGCTGTTGTTTAAAATAAACAAACATCATAGTACATAAGATGCATATCTGCACACTCACTAAATTTACCAAGATATTCAAAATTCAATATATTAATATCGAAGTACTAAAAGATCAACGTGTCAACAAGATTTAAAATGCACACGTCAATGCATTTATTTATTTATTTCGTAGGTACCATATTAACGTTTGTAAAAAGAGTGCGTTTTTTAATACTGATAACAGTTCTATTTCAATGACTTTCGAATCACACTTTGCTGCAGACAAAAAAAAATGGAAATCATGGTTTCTTTTTAATAAAAATAAAACATTATTTTTTTCTTGAAAACGGTTCATTTTATCGACAATGAAGAAGAGTACTTTTTCTTCACCTTAATGTTCAAGGTATTGAAATTTATTTTTTGTAACTTCTTATCATACAGGGTGTTAAAAATGTAAGTATTAAAATGTACAATCTAGTCCTCCCTTGGTAAACTAAATAAACTAATTATGTTTTAAGGGCAGTATTTTAAAAGGTTCTTACTACTGTTTATCATATTAAATTTTCATTAAATTGTTTTACGTAGTTTAAAAGTTATTCAAGAAAAAATGATTTTCAGTGGCGTCCTTTTGGAGGCCGTATCTCCGTAGGGAGGGCAACCAGAAAAAAATTATGAAAACTGGTCATCTTATTTTTTAATGTTCTGAATCTGAATCTGAATCCGAGAGATCTGTCACATTTTCCCGGAAACCCTGTATATAGCAATGGGCCTAAGATAATCTCTTGTGGATGTTTTAGATATGTGTAACGAGAGATTGAGAGATCTTGATTTTGGTAAGTCTATTTGAATATAAGGATATTATCAGAAAGAAGATTTATATTGGAATACTAATGAAAATCTTCTTTAAGAATACATTTTTAAGATTAACGTGGCTACTAATGATGTTAAAGCTTCCAAAGTATCTTTAGATTTTCTAAACCCATATTGTGACTCCGGTAAAATATTTTTACTCCCTAGCCATACTCTAGTCTATTTTTAATTATCATTTCAAATTGCAATGTTTTGAACATGCATGATTCTAAGGAAATTGGTCAATATAGTTTGGTTTTTACCTGATTTTATTAAAGGCAAATTTCTTGTACTGAGGTATTATTTATCCAAATAGAAATATATATATCTTAGGAAGATATTATTTTTTCTTCTGGTAGATATTTATTTATTTATTTATTTATTTATTTATTCCAGAAACAAACAGGCTCATTATTACATGTTCCTATAAATACAGCGAAAATAGAAATAAAAAAAATACGTAATATCTAATTAAATATATAAGTGAAATTACAATAAACAAACCTCGCTACTACAAAATTTTAACAAAGTTCATTAAAGAACAAAACTACTTAAATAATCAGAAATATTTAGGAATAATCCCACACCAAGGCCACCGAAATCCTACAAGGTTATGTCTCTTTAATCGAGCCCAACAATTTTGTTAAGTTCCTTTTTATATGTGCTTATAGCTACATCAAAAATACCGCAAGAAATGCCTTCGAAGTGTACATTAAACAAAAGACAAATTTTGTCTACTGGACCATGATTATCCGCACGAAAAGTTAATTAACGGGGACGAATACCTGCTACTGGAACATTGATTTTTATTTGACTCAATAATTATTAATAAATATCCATTTAATAATTTATGTAAAAAGACAAGGTTGATTATAG